CCCTGAGATCTTCCCCCGAGCTGTTTAATTGGGATTATTGTGCTTTTGGTACTTGGTCCTCGTTGTGTTTGTGCAGCCCTCCGTTTAGCCTTCTGGCGGTTCCCTGACATTGTGAGTAAAGTAGTGTTCGCAAGGCTGTTGTCCCCCTCCCCCGTTAGACCTAGTTCAAAGTGCGCCTAATGAGGTTTGCGAGTCTGTGAGCAATATAATACTACTAATAATAATATGATATTATAATTATATATTTATATTACATGTAATATTACTAATAATATTACAGTATAATTGATATAGTGCAATATAGCAATATTTAAAACTGATATAGAACTATGTTAATAATATATTGTATGTATATATACCTTGTAAGCCGCTCTGAGTCCCCTTCGGGGTGAGAAGGGCAGCATATAAATATCTTAAATAAATAAAAAGGTGTTTTCCTACTTGTGTGAGATGCACCCCATCCCTTGCCAGTAGGCCATCCTCCTGGAAAAGTAGGCCATGTCAAGGAAGCCAAAGCGTTCCTCCTGACACCATTTTCTAAGCCAGTTATAGACCTGTACTATTTTTCTGGCCCTTGTAGGACCGTGTCTGGCTTCTTTGCACTTGTCCTATCTTTTTCTCTTTGGTGGCACTGTTTGCAATTGCAATTGCGCCTTGAGTAATTCACTCTTGAGAAACTCCCATCCATCCGTAACTCCCTTGTCTTTTAGTATCTGTGTCCACAGAATGCTGCTCAGTATTTCCTTCATTTCTTGAAAGTCAGCTCTCCTAAAGTCCAAAATGCAAGTTTGACTTTTCTTAGTTTCGGCCTTCCTTTGTACCTCATCCTGGAGAAAGGCAGCATAGTAATCTCCGTAATAAATAATTAATAAATAAAGCTCTCTGCCTCCTCCAAACTGTAGCAGGATGTAGAGTGGGTCATGGGGTCGCAGTAGTTTCAGTAAGTGAATGAAGGTACTGCAAGTCCCATCATCCACGGCCTGTCCCCCTTAGAACTGCATCAGGATGTAGAGTTAGTCATGAGTACTCTCTGTGCCAAGTTTGTGCCTGGTCTGTGATTTTTAGGGGCTACAGTGTTCTGTGGGAAGGGAATTGGGTGAAGGTGCTGCAAATCCCATCAATCGTGGCCCATCATGCCCTAAACCACACCAGGTTGTAAAGTGGGCCATTGGGCCTCTGTGTGCCAAATGTGGTCCTGATCCGTCATTTTTGAGGGACACAGTGCTCTAAAGAAGTGAGTTAAAGTACTGTAAGTCCCGTCATCCATGGTCCATCCTCCCTCAAACTGCACCAGGATGTAGAGTGGGTCTTGGGGGACCTGTGTGACAAGTTTGGTCTTGATCAGTCATTGGATGAGGGTTGCAGTGGTTTCATTGAGTGAGTGAAGGTACTGCAAGTCCCTCAGGCCCTTTCCTTTCCCCTTTCATATACTTGAGAATGTTAGAATGGGTTTTTTGGGGGGGGGCGGTTTGTTGTGTCAGGAGCAACTTGAGAAACTGCGAGTCGTTTCTGGTGTGAGAGAATTGGCTGTCTGTAAGGACGCTGCCCAGGGGACGTTGCCCGGATGTTTTGATGTTTTACCATCCTTGTGGGAGACTTCTCTCGTGTCCCCGCTTCTCTCATGAACCCTCTGCGCCACCAGGGGCTCCTGTTGAGGCTGGCCAATCAGAAACCATATGCAAATTTCCTTTACCCTCTCAGCCACTTGAGGATGTTGGAGTTTTCAGGCTGGCCAATCAGAGACCATATGCAAAAAGTACCACAGTGGCAGCCAATCAGAAAGCTGCCACATACACCTCCCCCACTTACATGCATATGTACATACATACAAACACTCTCTTTTATTATATATATAGATATAGAAGATATAGATGTAGATTATTAATATTGTTAGTCATCCTTATTCCCATTCTTATTTTTTTGTTTTTCGTTTGTTTTGCGGCTTCATTTCGTCATATTTACTTATTTATTTTATTTACTGTATTTGTATACCACCTTTCTCAGGCAATTGGCGACTCAAGGCGGTTTCCAACAAATCAGTAAAAAAACATAAAACATAATAGATTAAAAAAAACAGTAAACAGTATAAGACATCAATTCCTCACTTCTTGTACTTTCTTTCCAAATCTTGATTTTGCTTGCTTTAAACTATTATTTTTTTTCATTCAATTGTCTTTTTGGAAATACTATATTACAGAATTAGTATTTTGTTTTTAGAGTGGGAAGAAACCCTAATGCCCCATGGATGAATTAAATGAAAAGTGTTAATGACTTAAATGTTAACTTAATATGAAATAGCTTGAATAACTTTAAATAACATTAAATAACTTGCTGCTTAATCACTTAAAATGTCCAGTCAGTAACTTAAATTTTTCTTTAGAAGACAGAATCTCGGTTCACAGACACAACAACTGTAATAGTAATAGTAAAAGGACATCAAAATCAATGGCGAAGGCTCTGGCAAAAACCAGTTCAGGTGGTCCCAGTGGTAATGGGCACACTGGGTGCCGTGCCAAAAGATCTCAGCCGGCATTTGAGAATTATAAACACTGAAAAAATCACGATCTATCAACCTCAAAAGGCCACCTGAAATGGATCTGTGTGCATCATTCGAAAGTCCTTAAAAGCTTGGGAAGTGTTTGAATTGTGATTCTGTGATACGAAATCCAGCATACAGATCTCGTTTGCTGTGTCATACTGTGTGTTTGTGTCAGTAAAACAATAATAGTAATAATAATAGAATGAATAGCAAAGAGGAATATTCTGCCACTGAAAGTATTTGCTTGAGGTTTTTGTTGGGAATCAGCCTGTGTTTGTGTTTCAGGATCCTGATCTGCCAATGATTTTCAGTCAGACAGTGACAGAGAGGCCCCAGTGCAAAGGGCAGTTTCTCATGAGAATATCCCTGCTGGGCCTAGCAATGATAATTCACTCCGTCTGCCTGTGAGCTCTCAAGGTTTGGGTTTGGGAAACAATCTGTCACCTGGGAATTTTAATGAGCAGCCAGATAGGGAGCTGAAGAATAGGCGACTGGAGATCAGCCACAATCGACAGCAAACTCAGTGTTTACGTCGCTCTGAAAGGGTTCGTCTGATAAGGGGCAAATGTGTGGGGAAGCGAAACCAATTTCTGAGTCTTGGGATATAAAGTTTGCTTCAAGGGAAAACCTGTTAGATTAGGCATCGTTTGGAAACCAAGTTCATGTGCTATGGAAAGCCTGTTCAAGGGATCTTGTTTTTGTGGAGTTTTTTTTTTTAACCTTTTGGGTTATTTTTGCATGCTGTTTGATTCCTGTCTGGATTAATGCTGTCTTGGTGTGCTTTTTTTTCTGTTGTGGACATTGCTTTATGTTACGGCTTTTTATGGACTAATTACTTTTTGAAACCTTTCAATTTTCCTGTAAGCATTTATTTCTTCTGGTTATTTGCTAAGCTTCAATAAAAGAAGATTTGTTTCTTCACTCTTTGTGTGGTGTGTTTAAAGTCAGAGGGCTTCTTCCTGACCTGGAGTGCAATGGTTTTCTGTTTTCAAGAGGGTTTCAAAGGTTTACAAGTTGATGGAGGAACATCCAAGGGATTCCTGACTTGACAAAAAGGAAGGAAGGAAGGAGGAAACGCTGGGTGTGGCTGAGATTGGAGAGTTCTTCTGAACTATCATGACAATTATAACAACTCAGCAAAGTTATTATGGTATTATAATAATGCTAATGTTAGAATTGGTATTCAGTGCGATCTTCTGGGGAGGCCCTGCTCTCGGTCCCACAGGCCATGGTGTCCAGCGCGGAGAACCAGAGAAGGCCAGGCGCAGCTGCAGATATTTATGGAAAAGGTTTCAGGTTGGGGTGAGAAGCCCCAGCAGATCAGGCCACGGGAGGGAGGGAGGCCTTGAAGTGGCGGGGGGGGGGGAGACAGAGCCGCAGGGCAGGCAGGAAGTGCTCGCCCTGGTTGCCGCAGTAGCAGGCGAGGGGCATCTGGTGGAAGGCCATGGTCCAGATGTGGCCGAAGGGCCAGAGGAAGCAGTCCATCTCCACCTGAAGAAACACCAATGCTGCTGCTGCAGACAGCAAGGCCGAGCAGAAGGGGTGGATGCTCCTGGTCTCAGCCCTCTTTCATTGGAGGCAGGATGGCCCTTTGCCAAGAGGGCTTGGGGGGTGCCTTCCTCCCTTCCTTCCTTGGACCGGGGGGCCCTGGGTGGGTCCTTCCCAACTCTGTGAGGAAATCAGATCTGCTCCCCCCCTCGTGACAGGGTGGAAAGGCGGGAAGACTTCCCTCTTTGCAGCAGCTTGGAACTGAAGCCAGGCACTTGCGGATACAACCCAGTGGGAAGTTTACACCGATTTGAACTTTCAGTGTTTGGTAATATGGGAAGTTTTTAAGGATTGTTGAACCTCTCTAATATGTGTTTACTTACGGTTTTTAATTATTGGTTTGTATATTTGTAATGCGATGTGAGCCGCCTTGGCCCGTCCTGGAGAAAGGCGTGGTCGTAATCTCCTTCGTGATACATAAACAATACATAAAATCCTCTGCCTGTCAGTCCATAGGGCCGCCTCCCGACAGATGGCCATATGGACAGAAAGGCAGATCATCATGCCTTGATCTCTTTCTACCTCTCACCCAGATGTCTTTTCCCGGCACTCCGCAACCACTGCCTATCTTTTTTTTAAATTATTATTATTTATTATTCTTATAAAACAACTATGCATAACCATAATTACCATACATTTAATACTTTTTCATCCCCTTCTCCCTCCCCACTCCCACCCCTCCCTCTTCCCTGTTGACAATGTAATCCTTTTTTCCCGTTACATGACCCTTTTTTTCGATTCTATCCATTTTTTTTCTTCCAGCTTTCATTGTCTGGTTTAACGACCTGTAACCATCTTTTAAATGGAGTCCAAATTTCTTTAATTTTCTTCTGCTTGTCTGACCATGTCTTTTTGCTTGTTATGGTGTCCATAATATCCAGTTGTATTTGGTCCCACATATTCAAGTGTCCATTTCTTTTTTCCTTTCCAACCCTAAGCTATTACTGCATGTGCTGCTCATTTTTGGCCCAACACTTGACCTTTTGCTTCTTTCTTGACCAGGGAAATGAGGATTCTATGGAGCTACCTCTTGGGTTGAGGAAGGAAACCAGGAATGTATGAAGAAATCATCTCAAGGTGAAGACGTTGCTGAATTTGTGACCTGTCTTACAGACACGAAAAGAAAACTGGAAGAGTCAAGTTTCTGTGTTGCAATAATACACCCATATCACTGTTAATATGAACGAGAAAGCATCTCAATGCCTGGAGTGTGGAAAGAATTTCAGTCGGAGGGATTCTCTTCACCAACATGAAAGGACTCACATGGGAGAGAAACCCTATACATGCCTCGAGTGTGGACAGAGCTTCACTCAGAGTGGAAGTCTACGAATGCATCAAAGGACTCACACTGGGGAGAAACCCTATACATGCCTGGAGTGTGGGCAGAGCTTCACTCAGAGTGGAAATCTACGTACACATCAAAGGATTCACACTGGGGAGAAACCCCATACATGCCTGGTGTGTGGAAAGAGCTTCACTTGTAGTTCACATCTACAATCACATCAAAGGATTCACACTGGAGAGAAACCCTTTAAATGTCTGGAGTGTGGACAGAGCTTCACTCAGAGTTCAGGTCTACATTCACATCAAAGGATTCACACTGGGGAGAAACCCCACACATGCCTGGAGTGTGGACAGAGCTTCACTCAGAGGGGACATCTACATAGACATCAAAGGATTCACACTGGCGAGAAACCTTACAAATGCCTGGAGTGTGCAAAGAGGTTCACTTGTAGTTCAGATCTACGATCACATGAAAGGACTCACACTGGGGAGAAACCCTTTAAATGCCCGGAGTGTGGAAAGAACTTCACTCAGAGTACAGGTCTACATTCACATCAAAGGATTCACACTGGGGAGAAACCCCACACATGCCTGGAGTGTGGACAGAGCTTCACTCAGATGGGACATCTACAGAGACATCAAAGAACTCACACTGGGGAGAAATCCTATAAATGCATGGAATGTGGACAGAGCTTCACGTGTAGTTCAGGTCTACGATCACATCAATGGACTCACACTGGGGAGAAACCCTATAAATGTCTGGAGTGCGGACAGAGCTTCACTCGTAATTCAGGTCTACGATCACATCAATGGACTCACACTGGGGAGAAACCCTATAAATGCATGGAGTGTGGACAGAGCTTCACTCGTAGTTCAGGTCTACGATCACATCAGTGGACTCACACTGGGGAGAAACCCTATAAATGCCTGAAGTGTGGACAGAGCTTCACTTGTAGTTCAGGTCTGCAATCACATCAATGGACTCACACTGGCGAGAAACCTTATAAATGCCAGGAGTGTGGACAGAGCTTCAATAATAATTCAGGTCTACGTTCACATCAAAGGACTCACACTGGAGAGAAACCCTATACATGCCTGGAGTGTGGAAAGAGCTTCACTCAGAGTTCAGGTCTACATTCACATGAAAGGACTCACACTGGGGAGAAACCCTATAAATGTCTGGAGTGTGGACAGAGTTTCACTGAGAGTGGAAGTCTACATAGACATCAAAAGACTCATATTGGGGAGAAACCCTATACATGCCTGGAGTGTGGGAAGACCTTTGCTCTCAGTCAAAGCCTACGTTCACATCAAAGAACTCACACTGGGGAGAAACCCTATAAGTGCCTAGAATGTGGACAGAGCTTCACTCACAGTGGAAGTCTGCGTAACCATCAGCGGATTCACACTGGGGAGAAACCATATGAATGCTTGGAATGTGGAAAGAGCTTCACTGAGGGTGGAAGTCTACGTAAACATCAAAGGATTCACACTGGGGAGAAACCCTATAAGTGCCTAGAATGTGGACAGAACTTCACTCACAGTGGAAGTCTACGTAAACATCAATGGATTCACACTGGGGAGAAACCCCATGAAAGCGTGGAGTGTTGAAAGAGCCTCTGAGAGTTCAACCTACATATACATAGATTTTCACTGGAGACAACAGTGGCGTTTGACCTAAATACCACTTTCCAAGCTTTTCCTGTTGGTTACACACTCTTTAGACCTGCATCCTTTCATGACATGGTAGTTCAGTTTAAGAAACCAGAGGTTAAACCAATCCCATATAAGATTCCACGTATATGTAATATAATAATATATAGAGATAGGTTTCATATATTCTTTATTGTATGTACAAGTCTTTTGTAGTTTCCTCTATAGCTGCTCCATGTGGTTTTCTTATGACAGGACAGGGAGGGGGCCAGCCATCTAGCCTGCCGCAGGTGAAAGAAGACGGTTCTGCTCACGGCAGATACCTGGGCCTCCATTGTCAGCACAAGCTGAGTGTCATAAGCGTACTGGTAACACTCCAGCCCAAAACGTCGAACAAGTTGAGCAAGTGGTCACATATAGATGTTAAACAACAGAGGGGAGAGAATGGCCCCCTGAGGAACCCCACAAGAGAGAGGGGACCTCTCAGAGACCAGGCCTCCCCTCTCCTCTCGCTGTCCACGGTTGTGAAGAAAGGAGGGGAGCCAATTCAAAGCTCTCCCCCTGACTCCAACAGTAGCAAGGCGGTGCGTCAGAAGATTATGGTCAACTGTGTCATCAGCTCCTGGGTGCATTTGGGGAGTTCTCTGGAGAAGAGCCCTGAAGAGGGGAGGGGCGCGTGAGGACAAGGCCAGGACCCTCATTTCGTATCAAAAGCAATTGCATACATTAGTACAAAAACTGATAAAAATAAAAGAGTGCAGGCGGCTGAATATCTTTTGACCCAAAACGGGCCACAGCAACGGCATTGTCTGTAGCCTCCCAACAATTCCTCCTCTGTACATGAGGCAGGGCACAGTGGACAAGCATGCAGATGCAGAGTTGTCTGTTCTGCTCCACAGTCACACAAGGTGTGGGATTCTTTTAGGTGGTGCCATTTGGCCAATTTCCCTTTGGATCTGCCCACTCCGCTTCTGAGTCTGTTCACGGACTTCCAAGTTGCCCATTCTTGGTTTGCCCCAAGAGGAAACCCTCTCTCGTGGGGGGGGGGATCCAGTTGGGATTACCTGGTTGAGCTGCCCAGAGGGAGACCCTTGCTGTTGCTGAAGGGACGCCAAGGACCCTGAAAAGGGCTGCATTGCGGGGTCCGGCCTCCCTCACACACGCACACACATGCACACCTCCCTCCGACACCCCCCCCCCACTGACCTGGGCATCCCGAGAAGGTTGTGAAGGTTGGGACCACCGTCTCCGGGGGCAACACCGTGTTGTCCAGGATCCTGCAGCAGTCCTTCAGGACACACCGGTGGCCCTGCAAGGAGACACCGCAAGCCAGCACGCATTCAGCACTGCCTGCCCCTGAGGGCAAAGAGCAGGCCTCGGGCTGAATGCAACGAGACGCTGGCTGAGTCGCTTTGGGCCCCTGATTTGGAGAAAGGCGGGGGGCTGAGCCCGGGCAGACCTGCCTCCCGGCACCTCCTGCTCGTCTCTTTTCCCCTGAGAGGCCGAAGGTGGGCAATGCGGTGCAGCCCCATGCCAGGGGACGGTCCAGAAGCCGCCTGCAGGGAGTGGGCTATTCGGGGTTGCTGATGTCTCCCCACTTTCTGCCCCACTTTCCCCACCTGCAAATTGGAGCATGGCCCCCCCAAGGATGGGTGGATGATAGGCATGTGCAACCATGGTTCTAAAGTACTTACAAAACTATAAAGTTCTGGTGGTGAACATTAGGGGGTGCTGGTGCTTTGCTTCTACAGTGTTGCTAAAGTTCTGGTGGTGAAAATTTGAGAACGCTAACAAAAATTTAAAAATTTCATTATAAATGGCAGTTCCTAATAGGTTCTGTCATAAAAATCACCAATAATGAAATAATAATGACATTTTGAAAGTTTTGTAAGAGTTCTGACTACAGCTCTGGGTTCTGAACTTTAGTTTTGCAAGTACTTTAGAACCATTTAGAACCACGATTGGGTGAAGTGGTGGAAAGAATGGCCTCCTCTCAGGCCTCCCGCTGAGAGGAGACCCACAGAGACCACCTGGATTTGTGTCTGTGAGAGAGAGAGTGCCACGGGGGGATTCCCACAAAGCAGGCAGCTTACTGTTTCCGCAGGCAACACTCAGAATGACACAGTTCTTGACAATGTGGATGTAGGAGCCTATCTGGGCCGCGTTGACAACACAGTCCTCCTCAATGAAGACGTGGTCCCCGATGTGCAGCGGGAAAAAGGCCACCCTGGGGAGGGGGGCAACGCTGGGTGGATTTTGGGGAAGGGGTCGAGTGGCCAAGGGCCCAGGGCCAGGACACATTAGGCTGGGCTGGGCACCCTCCTGCAGCCGCATCTTCCCTGCCGCAAACAAACCCCAGGCCCTGCCACCCTTTGCCACGGAGGAGTTCTGCTTTTCTTTGGTGGCTGGAAGGCTGAGGCCCTGTTCCCAGAGATGGGGGGGGGGGCATTTGTGGGTCTCCACGGACAGAACTTCTTCTATGCCTTTGGCCCTATCCCAAAACGTTTCCAGACTGCTCTCCAAACCTTGGAGCAAAGAAGCCCAGCCCAAGACTGGCAGCACACGCGTTGAAACAGATTAAAATGAAAGGAATGCCCACATTCATTAACACCAAGTTTTAAAAAAGCATCAACTCCTGTGTTTGCTTGTCTTTAGACGGGAGGGTGTAACTGGCATGCCTTTCCTGGTCCAAACGGCCAAAATCACAGATCGTTCCATTGTTACCCATAGGCCAGGCATGGGCCAACTTGGGACCTCCCTCCAGGTGTTTTGGACTCCAACACCCAGCATTCCTCACAGCGTCAGGCCCCTTCCTTTTCCTTTTCTGCTGAGAGGAATCATAGAATAGAATCACAGAATCCTACAGTTGGAAGAGACCTCCTGGGCCACCATCCAGTCCAACCCCGTTCTGCCAAGAAGCAGGAATATTGCATTCAAAGCACCCCTGACAGATGGCCAACCAGCCTCTGTTTAGAAGCCTCCAAAGAAGGAGCCTCCTGGAATCCTGGGAGTTGGAGTCCAAAACGTCTAGAGCAGGGTTCCTCAAGCTATGGCCCGGACCAAAGGTCATTTACCTGACCCTCGCTCAGGGTCAACCTAAGTCTGAAACAACTTGAAAGCACACAACAACAACAATAATCCCATCTCATCAGCCAAAAACAGGCCCACACTTCCCATTGAAATACTAAGAAGTTTATATTTGTTAAAATTGTTATTCATTTTTGTTCGGGAACGGYTGTTCCAGGGGCTCCARTTTTGTGTTTTGCACTGAGTGTTTGTTCATAGTTCTGAGTTGCAGGGACTTTGCAGATAGGTRGCTTCCTTTGGCTGCATTCATAGGGCAAGCCACCTGTCAATAATAGTTAGGTTCCCTGGTCCCGCCCCTTTTTGAGTTTTGGTGGGAACAGGAGCCATTTTAAGTTAGTTCTCACAGAGAAGCCTTTCGCACAGGACATAGAACGAAGTGGCTCCTGTAGAAAAGCTTCATCTTCTATGGCTTGGCCGGGGAGAAAAGGCCCACAGCTTGGCTGAGGGACTCCAGCTGGCCATCACAGCAACCTGAACTCCTTCTTTTTCCCTGGATGTCTACAAAGCTCTGTCTGATAAGGGTCTCTCGCGGAAGCCAGACGCAGTTGGTACCGGGTGCAAGGGCTCCACGTCAACAGAGGCAAGTACAGACTGCCCAGATTAGAAGTTAAGGATTTCCCCATTAGTTAATTACAGTTAAGAAGATAGTGCCTGTTCCCAGTGAACAAGATTGCAAGAGCCAATAGACTGTTAAGAAAGCTTGAAAGTACCTGTTTGTTTTCATCAACAAAGAACTTTGTTGGACTTACTTTAAGCCTCTACAGAACTTTGTTTGGGGAAATCTAAGGGCCTTTAATCTGAGGCAGCCCCGGTGTCCCATTGGGCACATGGAATTTATGTCCTGTCTACAGTCATGCGCACAGGCCCAGTGTGCGACAGCTTAATTTTAATTATCGTATTGTTTTAAGTGGTTTTTGAACTACAAATAAGATTTGTGCAGTGTGTGCAAAAGAACTCATTCATGCTATTTTTTTCCAAATTATAATCCGGCCCTCCAACAGTTTGAGGGTCTGCGACCTGACCCTCTGTTTAAAAAGGAGATGGAGGGCCGAAGTTGGCCCATGCCTGCCGCAAACAGATGCCTCTGGCGAACAGACGGACAGGCTGCCACCTTAATTGCAGGGCTGCTCACAAGATCAAAAGCATGAAATGCGGACTGCAAATGACAGCCGGAGCAAGAAGAGAAATCCCAGAAAAATAAGACACGCTCAAGGAGGTAAAAACCAAAACAAAAGCAGCAGGAAAATGGAACAGCGCTATGTTGTAAAGGCAACAAAAAGGTAGTCACAGAGATGTTCCTGCTTCTTGGCAGAAGGGGGTTGGGTTGGATGGCCCACGAGGTCTCTTCCAACTCAACAAAGCACTCCTGACAGATGGCCACCCTGCCTCTGCTTGGATGAGAAAAGGCCCTGGCTCTGGTGTAGGTTTCAGGCAAACCTCTCTGGGGGTGCTTTCCCGAGGACAGGGTGCCACCCCCAAAAAGGCCCTTAGACTTTTTACCCATTTTTCTCCTAATTTCATAGGAATGGCTCTCTAAAGCATGGAGGAAAATCCCAACACGGGCATCTAGGAACATGGATTTACCAGAACTGAGTACTGTTAGACTCTCTTGTCTGGTATTGACTGTTGGTGTTATTGTTTATCTTGCCTTATGTAATGTATTGTATTTTATTGTTTTGATTATGTTGTGAGCCGCCCCGAGTCCCATTGGCAGATGGGGCAGGAAATAAACAAACATTATTATTATTACTACTACTACTACTACTACTACTACTACTGTGTGTCTTTGGCCCGATTCTTCTTTGGCGAAGGCCCGATTCCTGACCGTGCTGCTTTGCAGGGCTGCCCCCTCCCCCCCCCCCGCGCTTACCCTTTGCTGAACTTCTTGAAGGGCGGGTGGATGATGCTCCGGCTCTTCAGCACGCAGTGGCGGCCCACCCTCACATTGGCCAGATCCCCCCGGATGATGCAATCCTTCATGACGATGGTCTGGAGGGAAAGAGGGGAGAAATGCTGTGGGCAAGCCCCGCCCAGCCCCTCCCACCCCCAGGAGTGGTCAGTGGCCGGAGGCTCCATAAGCAGACTGATTTCAGAGATCTCATAGGCCTTTGACTGTTATGGGAACTGGAACTGGATCTGTCGTATTTCGGAGCACATAGTCATCTTGGTGTAAGAGTCGCACCTCCTTTGTTGCCCATCCCCATTCCTCGAGTAATAGTTGCAGCTGGGATCTGTCACCCATTTGCTCGCCTACAGACCCCCTTCCAGCTGAGTCGCTTCACTTGGCCAACTCTGAAATCTCTGGGTTGAAGAGAGACAAGACTGGCCCCCTTCGACCCAGCACTTACTTGTGGGCTCTGTCAAGTGAAGCAGCTGGAAGGAGACAAGGCTTTTCACCACATAATAGTCGCACTCCCTTTTTTCCAGCCAAAAGGCCCCTCCATGCCCAAAGGACATATCCTTGAAGTGAACCATCGTGCATTTGCTCAGACAGCAGGACCCAAGGTTTTGGTTTTTTTTTGTCGTGACAGGAGCGATTTGAGAAACTGCAAGTTGCTTCTGGTGTGAGAGAATTGGCCGTCTGCAAGGACGTTGCCCAGGGGACGTCCAGATGTTTGCTGTATTATTTTCGGGCTTGGCCTCATGTTAGCTGCCCCGAATCCCCTTTGGGGAGATGGTGGCGGGGTATACATAAGGATTATTATTATTATTATTATTATTATTATTTTGTTATTATTATTCTGTTCTACAGACTGACCAGGGCAGAAGAAGGGAGCCATGGGTTCAAAGGGCAGGAGAGAAATTTATTTATTTATTTATTTATTTAAAACCTTGATATTCCGCCCTTCTTCTCACCCGGAAGGGGACTCAGGGCGGAGCACAGCATATACACGGCAAACATTCAATGCCGGGACACAGATTCACATACAATACAAAAACATTAAAAAACATTGATCAAAATATTAAAATACACCATTTAAAACTGTTCTAGTCATCTGCATCAAATCTAATTGGCCCGGTCATCTTTCCTATTGCTGCTTCATTGTCCTAAAAAAAAAAGCCAGGTCCCACAGCCAGGTCTTCACCATCCTTCTGAAGGACAGGAGAAAGGGGGTGGACCTAATCTCACCAGAACGGGAGTTCCATAGCTGGGGACCATCACCGAGAAGGCCCTGTCTCTTGTCCCCACCAATCGCGCCTGTGACAATGGTGGAACGGAGAGCAGGGTCTCCCCAGAGGATTTTGATCTCCATGATGGTTCATAGGGGGAGATGTGTTCGGACAGGTAAATTGGGCTGGGGCCATTTAGGGCTTGATAGGCCAAAGCCAGCACTTTGAATTGTGCCCGGTAGCAAACTGGCAGCCAGTGCAGCTGGTGTAACATGGGAGTTGTATGCTCCCTGTATGCCGCCCGTCATTAACCTGGCTGCCTCTCGTTGGACTATTTGAAGCTTCCGAGCAGTCTTCAAAGGCAACCCCACATAGAGTGTGTTGCAGTAGTCTATCCTAGATGTAATGAGAGCATGGACCACCATGGCCAAGTCTGACTTCCCAAGGTACGGGCACAGCTGGCACACAAGTTTTCATTGTACAAATGCTCCACTGGCCACCTCTGCAACCTGGGCTTCCAGGCTCAGTGATGAGTCCAGGAGAACTCCCAAGCTGTGAACCTGTGCCTTCAAGGGGAGTGTGACCCCGTCCAGCACAGGTTGCGACCCTATACCCTGTTTGGCCTTGCGACTAAACAGAAGGGCCTGTTTTGTCTGGATTCAGCTTTGCTCGCCCTGTTCCGGACCGTCACAGCGGCCAGGCACCGGTTCAGGACTTGGACAGCCTCCTTCGCATCTGGTGGAAAGGAGTGATAGAGTTGGACGTCATCTGCATACAGATGGCATCGGAATCCAAAATTCCAGATTTCACCCAGCGGCTTCATGAAGATGTTAAACAACATGGGGGACAATACTGAGCCCTACGCAACCCTACAGGACAATGGCTGTGGGGCCGAGCAGGAGTCCACCAGCAACACGTTCTAGGAACGACCCTCCAGGAAGGACTGGAGCCACTGCAGAGCAGTCCCTCCAAGACCCATCCCCGCGAGGCACCCCAGAAGGATACCATGGTCTACGGTATCGAAGGCCACTAAGAGGTCCAGGAGAACCAACAGGGACACACTCCCCGTCGAGCTCTGTGCGGAAATCATCCACTAAGGCAACCATGGCTGTCTCAGTTCCATGTCCCGGTCTGAAACCGACTGCGACATATCCAGATAGTCAGTTTCCACTGGAAAGATGAGGGAGAGTTTCCTGGACAGCGGCTGAGGATGCCTGGGCATGTGGTAGAGTCTCTTTCTCGGGAGGCTTTTCTGCAGAGGCTGTCTATCTATCAGGAGTGCTTTGATTGTGCCTTCTGGCATGGCAGAAGGGGGTTGGACTGAATGGCCCTTGGGGGTCTCTTCCAGCTCTAGGATTCTATATCAGGAGTACGCAATACAGGGTCTCATGGGGACACTTTTCCTCTCCCGTCCAACATCTCCTCCTGACCTTTTGGGATCCAAACTTTCCTTCACTTTCTGCCTCCAAAAGAGAAGAGAGAGGAAGGGAGGGAAGGGCAGGAGGGGACTGGGGGAAACACTCCACTTGCTTCACTAGCAACAGAACCTCTGGAGATGCCATTGGCCACAGAGGCGGGAGAAACCTCAGGAGAGAGTGCTGCTTGTCTGACAGCCCGCCTGCTCACCTACCTTTTCATTGAGGACGATGTTCTGGCTGCCGCACTGTTGTTGACTGGAGGCATCCTCTGCTTGGGAGGGGGGGGGGGGGGGGGGGGGGGTGTTAACTGGCACTTGATTGCTTGCTGCCTGGAATTCCCCGGCTGTTTCTGAGTGGTCTTCCAACACCTCCCAAGCAAAGGATGCCCCCAAGCAGCAACAGCCGGGATTTGCAGCTGCAAGGCTAGTGAATGCTCATCAAGCTTGCCAACTGGCAGGTAAGGGCTCTTTCTCCACCACACCGCCCCGGGCTTGCCTTCCAGGGACCTTGGACTCCAACTCCCACCATTCCTCACAGCCTCGGACCCTTTCCTTTCCCCCCTCAGCCGCGTAAGCATAAGCGGCTGAAAGGGGAAAAGGAAGGGGCCTGAGGCTGTGAGGAATGGTGGGAGTTGGAGTCCAAGGCCCCTGGAGGGCCGACTCCCTACCAACAGAACCTCTGAAGATGCCACAGGCGCAGCAGGTGAAACTTCAGGAGAGAGTGCTACTCACCTTCCCGTTGAGAACGATGTTCTGGCTGCCGCAGAGCACCAACTGCCGGCTGACCTTGTTCCCGGAGGCCGCCCAGGGAGATCAGGTGCACCGGGAGAAGCCTTCCTTCCTCTCTTCCTTCCGCTTGGGGGAACACCACTAAGGGCCCCATATCCCAGAATATCAAGGCAGGAAATCACACAATATCTGCTTTGAACTGGGTTATCAGTGCGGACATGTATTTTAAATAATTCCTGTGTTTAATTCTGGTTTAATGTCTGTATGCTTTGGAATTTAATTTACAGATTTTATGGACTCACAGATTCATAATGGAGAGAGACCCCAAGGACCACCCAGTCCCATCCCATTCTTCCAGGCAAGAAGACACTATCAAAGCCCTCCCAACAGATGGCCACCCAGCCCAATTAAGAACCACCGAAGAAGAAGACCCCACTAAGGGCCCTTCCACACAGCCCTATATCCCAGAATATCAAGGCAGGAAGTCTCACAATATCTGCTTTGAACTGGGTTATCTGAGTCCACACTGCCAGATAATCCACTTCAATTTGGATTTTATGCAGCTGTGTGTAAGGGGGCTTAGGTGATCCAAGCCCCTTCCACGCAGCTGAATAAAGTCCCACATTATCTGCTTTGAACTGGGTTATCCGAGTCCACACTGCCAGATAATCCGGTTCAGTGTGGATTTTATATAGCTGTGTGGAAGGGACCTCAGACAACCCAGGCCCCTTCCATACAGCTGAATAAAATCCCACATTTTCTGCTTTAAATTGGAATATATGGCAGTGTGGACTCGGATAATCCAGTTCAAAGCGGATATTGTGGGATTTTCCACCATGACGTTCTGGGTTATATAGCTGTGTGGAAGGGCCCAGAGAAGGCTTTTTCGCTGCCATGGTTCAGTGATATGGTATGACAGGAGTTGTAGTTTTACAAGGTCTTTGGCCTTTTCTGCCAAAGAGTGCTGGTGCCTCCCCAAACTACAAGGGCCATGATTCCAGAGCATTGAGTTGTTGTGGTTCCATCAAGCAGGGTCAGGTTGAAGGAGTTTGGTACTCCAACTGCCATGGCTCCATGCGATGAAATCCTGGGATTTCTAAAAAGACTGCTTGCTTGATTACATATCATTGAGCTATGGCTGTTCAAGTGGTGCCAAACTGCATTCATTCCACAGCGTAGATGCACCCTGAGGCCCCTTCTGCACTGCACTTCTCTGTTATTAGCAAGCCCAAAGTCTGAAAAATCTTCTGAAGACACAGCATGACCAGGAAATCTTTGTGTAGTACTTGTAGACCAAAAATAACAAAAACTTAAAATTGTTTGCTAAGTTTTATAAAATACTTGCATTCTAAAAAAAGCTAATTTCTGCTAATTCTATGTAATGTAACTACATGAACATAATGTTGTTAGTAAACTTCTGGCGTGCAAGTTAACTCTTTTATTCACCTCTACCTTCTACCTTTTATTTTTCAGTGATTGGTTGGGGGGGGGGGATACTGTTTACCCAGGGCCAGCCCTAACTATCACCATTCCCTCCAGTGTGAATTCTATGTCTATGTAGATATGAACTCTGTAAGAAGCTCTGTCCACACTTGAGACCAGTAGTTCTCGGCCTGTGGGTCCCCAGGGGTTTTGGCCTACAGCTGTAAGGACTTCTGGGAGTTGAAGGCCAAAACATCCGGAGACCCACAGGTTGAGAACGACTGCTCCAGACACACGTAGGGTTACTTCCCAGTGTGAATCCTTTGATGTCTTTTTAGAGCTGTACTTTGAGTGAAGCTCTGTCCACACTCCAGGCATTTATAGGGTTTCTCCCTAGTATGAGTCCTTTGATGTGATCGTAGACCTGAACTCTGAATGAAGCTCTGTCCACACTCTAGGCATTTATAGGGTTTCTCCCCAGTGTGAGTCCTTTGATGTGAACGTAGACCTGAACTCTGAATGAAGCTCTGTCCACACTCCAAGCATTTATAGGGTTTCTCCCCAGTGTGAGTTCTTTGATGTGAACGTAGGACTCCACTGTGAGCAAAGCTCTTTCCACACTCCAGACATTTATAGGGTTTCTCCCCAGTGTGAATCCTTTGATGTCTTTTTAGAGCTGTACTTTGAGTGAAGCTCTGTCCACACTCCAGGCATTTATAGGGTTTCTCCCTAGTATGAGTCCTTTGATGTGATCGTAGACCTGAACTCTGAATGAAGCTCTGTCCACACTCCAGGCATTTATAGGGTTTCTCCCCAGTGTGAGTTCTTTGATGTGAACGTAGGACTCCACTGTGAGCAAAGCTCTTTCCACACTCCAGACATTTATAGGGTTTCTCCCCAGTGTGGGTCCTTTGATGTGAGCGTAGGACTCCACTGTGAGCAAAGCTCTTTCCACACTCTAGGCAGTTATAGGGTTTCCCGCCAGTGTGAATCCTTCGATGTAAACTTAGATTTCCACTTTGAGCAAAGCTCTGTCCACACTCCAGACATTTATATGGTTTCTCCCCAGTGTGAGTTCTTTGATGTCTATGTAGATTTTCCTTCTGGGTGAAGCTCTGTCCACACTCCAGGCATTTATAGGGTTTCTCCCCAGTGTGGGTCCTTTGATGTATTTTTAGAGCTGTACTATGAGTGAAGCTCTGTCCACACTCCAGGCATTTATAGGGTTTCTCCCCAGTGTGAGTCCTTTGATGTGATCGTAGACCTGAACTCTGAATGAAGCTCTGTCCACACTCCAGACATTTATAGGGTTTCTCCCCAGTGTGAATTCTTTGATGTCTACGTAAATTTCCTCTCAGAGTGAAGCTCTGTCCACACTCCCGGCATTTATAGGGTTTCTCCCCAGTATGAGTCCTTTGATGTGAACGTAGATGTGAACTCTGAGTGAAGCTCTGTCCACACTCCAGGCATTTATAGGGTTTTTCCCCAGTGTGAATCCATTGATGTGAATGTAGATGTGAACTCTGAGTGAAGCTCTGTCCACACTCTAGGCATTTATAGGGTTTCTCCCCAGTGTGAGTCCTTTGATGTTTACGTAGATCTGAACTCAGAGTGAAACTCTTCCCACACTCTAGACATTTATAGGGTTTCTCCTCAGTGTGAGTCCTTTGATGTATCTTCAGTTTTCCATGCTGATTAAAGCTCTTTCCACATTTAATACATTTATATGCATTCTTCTCCATGTTGACAGCGTTATGTACCTTTAATTCAAATATGGACACCTGACACTTGTTTTCCTCTTTCTGATTACTCGCAGAAATGGGTTCAAATTACAGGAGATTCCATCTCAACATTAGGAAGAACTTCCTGACTGTAAGAGATGTACAGCAGTGGAATTCTCTGCCTCAAAGTGTCGTGGAGGCTCCTTTGGAGGCTTTCGAACAGATGCTGGATGGGGCCCTGTTCAAGAAAGAAGAAGCAAAAGTTTAAAGATGAAGCCCCAAACCCCCTTTACCTCCAATATTAACCTCGTTTGCCTTTATGAATCATGTTGAAAATGGAAATGCCAGGACACAGAGGCATTCAGGGTCTCAAGGACATACACAGAAACCAGCAAAAACAGTCACAGATTCATAAAAACAAGAAATGAATTCACATGCTTTGACAGAGACAAAAGCTTAAAAGGTAAAGGTTTTCCCCTGACATTAAGTCCAGAGCCGGCATTGTCCGTAGACCCCTCTAAGGTCATATGGCCACTGGCATGACTCCATGGAGCGCGGCCACCTTCCCACTGGAGTGGTACCTATTGATCTACTCAGATTTGCATGTTTTCAAACTACTAGGTTTGCAGAAGCTGGGGCTAACAGCGGGAGCTCAAGCCGCTCCCCGGATTCGAACCAGCAACCTTTCAATCACCAAGTTCAGCAGCTCAGCAGTTTCACCCACTTTGGCACTGGGGGCTCCCACAAAAGCTTGCCGTAGTTCAAAGGTGATTCAACAGCAGGCAGAGAAGGGAGAGACTGCGCATGCGTCAACAAGAGTAGCCGTGCCCAATTGCTCTCCTAGCTATAAAGGCAATCAAAGCCTCAAAAAGCCCAGAAAGGCTCATAAATCACTTCCTAGCTGGGGTCTGGCTCAAAAGAGGAAAGAGAGGAGGCTGGGAGGTCACGATTGAAGGCGGCTGAAGCCATAAATCTCAGAATACAAACAGAAGACCGGGCAATCGTAAGTATGGCTGAGAGAATAATGGGGAAGAGTGAAGAGGGGAGGGAAAACAATTGAACAGGATTATACCCGCATTGAAGGAGCTGGGGGTGGTGACGGCCGACAGGGAGCTCTGGCGTGGGCTGGTCCATGAGGTCACGAAGAGTCGGAGACGACTGAACGAATGAACAACAACAACATACCCGCATTGGAACATCTTAAATTAAGCATGGAGAGTTTAAGACAGGGAAACGAGCAGACAAGAGAACAAATCACACAAATTCATAATCATCTCGGGCTAATAGAATATCCGGTAGGAGAATGCCCACAAAATTTCATCGAGGCAGCAGCCGAGATGAGAAGACAAAAAAAAGAAAGATGAATTGATGGCTTTGAAAAACGTAAATTGAAAACTCCTTCAAAAAGTTGCTGACCTTGAAGACCGCTCGCAGAGAACAGCAGGGCAGAGTCTTCACATAAAGGAGAATTTAGAAGGAGTCATAGTTGAATGGCTTAAAACGCAACCTCAAGTCCCATCGGAGGAGACTGAGAGAGTGCACTGGGCCTTCAGAGGAAGCAGGACACCCAAGGGTATTCACAAGGGAAGCTGAAAAGGACATTATACATCGGAAACTGAGGGAAATGAAGAACCTGGCCTTAACTGGCAGTAAAGAATGGCCACTCCGGGATTTATCATCAGAAACACTGAGTAAAAGAGCAGAAATGAGAGAAATCACAGGCTGAACTCCAACAGGAGTTCAGAACCAACAGTGCAGAAAGAAGACAGAACGGTGGATGGTGCTGAGGGAGAGCCAATACTCCAGAGGACAGGAGCAGGATTCAAAACGATCTTGACAGATTAGAGAGATGATGGGCCAAAACTAACAAAATGAAGTTCAACAGTGACAAATGCAAGATACTCCACTTTGGCAGAAAAAACGAAATGCAAAGATACAGAATGGGGGACAATGCCTGGCTCGAGAGCAGTACGTGTGAAAAAGATCTTGGAGTCCTCGTGGACAGCAAGTTAAACATGAGCCAACAATGTGATGTGGCGGCAAAAAAAGCCAATGGGATTTTGGCCTGCATAGTGTCTAGATCTAGGGAAGTCATGCTCCCCATGCTCTATTCCGCTTTGGTTAGACCACACCTGGAATATTGTGTCCAATTCTGGGCACCACAATTCAAGAGAGATATTGACAAGCTGGAATGTGTCCAGAGGAGGGCGACTAAAATGATCAAGGGTCTGGAGAACAAGCCCTATGAGGAGCGGCTTAAGGAGCTGGGCATGTTTAGCCTGAAGAAGAGAAGGCTGAGAGGAGATAGCCATGTATAAATATGTGAGAGGAAGCCACAGGGAGGAGGGAGCAAGCTTCCTTTCTGCTTCCCTGGAGAGAGACTAGGACGCAATGGAAATGGCTTCAAACTACAAGAAAGGAGATTCCATCTGAACATGAGGAAGAACTTCCTGACTGTGAGAGCCGTTCAACAGTGGAACTCTCTGCCCCGGAGTGTGGTGGAGGCTCCTTCTTTGGAAGCTTTTAAACAGAGGCTGGATGGCCATCTGTCAGGGGTGATTTGAATGCAACATTCCTGCTTCTTGGCAGGGGGTTGGACTGGATGGCCCATGAGGTCTCTTCCAACTATTTGATTCTATGATTCTATGAAAGGACATCTGCAGTAATCTTTGCACCTAGAAATACAAAGTCTGTCATGGCCTCCACATTTTCTCCCTCTATTTTCCAGTTGTCAATCATTCTTGTTGCCATAATCTTGGTTTTTTTGACGTTTAGCTGCAACCCGGCTTTTGCGCTTTCTTCTTTCACCTTGATTAGAAGGCTCCTCAGCTCCTCCTCGCTTTCGGCCATCAGAGTGGTGTCATCTGCATATCTGAGGTTGTTAATGTTTCTTCCAGCAATTTTCACCCCAGCCTTGCGTTCATCAAGCCCCGCACATCGCATGATGTGTTCTGCATACAAGTTAAAAAGGTTGGGTGAGAGGATGCAGCCTTGCCGGACGCCTTTCCCAATCTTGAACCAGTCTGTTGTTCCGTGGTCAGTTCTGACTGTTGCTACTTGGTCCTTGGACAGATTCCTCAGGAGAGAGGGAAGGGGGCTTGGGATGCCCATCCCACCAAGAACTTGCCACAATTTATGATGATCCACACAGTCAAAGGCTTTAGAATAGTCAATGAAGCAGAAGTAGATGTTTTTCTGAAACTCCCTGCCTTTCTCCATTATCCAGCGGATATTGGCAATCTGGTCTCTTGTTCCTCTGCCTTTTCTAAACCCAGCTTGAACATCTGGCAACTCTCGCTCCATGTATTGCTGGAGTCTTCCTTGCAGGATCTTGAGCATTACCTTACTGGCATGAGAAATAAGGGCCACTGTACGGAAGTTTGAGCAGTCTTTCGTATTTCCCTTTTTTGGTATGGGGATATAAGTGGATTTTTTCCAGTCTGATGGCCATTCTTGTGTTTTCCATATTTGCTGGCATATGGCATGGATCACCTTGACAGCATCTTTTAAGATTTTAAACAGTTCAGCTGGGATCCCGTCGTCTCCTGCTGCCTTGTTGTTAGCAATGCTTCTTAAGGCCCATTCAACCTCACTCCTCAGGATGTCTGGTTCTAATTCATTCACCACACCGTCAAAACTCTCCTCGCTATTATTATCCTTCCTATACAGATCTTCTGTATAGTCTCGCCACCTTCTCTTGATCTCTTCAGCTTCTGTTAGGTCCCTGCCATCTTTGTTTCTTATCATACCAATTTTTGCCTGAAATTTGCCTCCAATGTTTCTAATTTTCTGGAAGAGGTCTCGTGTCCTTCCTATTCTGTTGTCTTCTTCCACTTCCATGCATTGCTTGTTTAAAAATAGTTCCTTGTCTCTTCTGGCTAACCTCTGGAATTGCGCATTTAACTGGGCATATCTCCCCTTATCCCTGTTTCCTTTTGCTTTCCTCCTTTCTTGGCCTACTTCCAGTGTCTCAGCAGACAACCATTTTGCCTTCTTGGTTTTCTTTTTCTTTGGAACGTACTTTGTTGCCGCCTCCTGAACAATGTCTCGGACTTCTGTCCATAGTTCTTCTGGGACTCTGTTTACTAAATCTAGTCTTTCAAATCTGTTCTTCACTTCCACTGTATATTCGCTAGGAATGTTAGTGAGATCATATCTAACTGGTCTGTGTATTTTCCCTGATCTCTTTAGTTTTATTCTAAATTGAGCAATAAGAAGTTCGTGATCTGAGCTACAGTCAGCCCCAGGTCTTGTTTTCACCGACTGGATGGATGTCCGCCACCTTTGGCTGCAAAGGATGTAGTCAATCTGATTTCGGTGTTGACCGTCTGGTGAGGTCCATGTGTAAAGCCGTCTTTTAGGTTGTTGGAAGAGAGTATTCGTTATACACAGCGAGTTTTCCTGGCAAAATTCTATCAGCCTGCGTCCTGCTTCATTTTGTTCTCCCAGACCATGCTTGCCTGTGATCCCAGTTGTCATTTGACTTCCCACCTTGGCATTCCAGTCTCCTGTAATGAAAATAATGTCTCTTTTTGGTGTATTATCCAGTAGGTACTGCAGATCCTCATAGAACTGATCTACTTCTGCTTCTTCAGCAGCTGTGGTTGGGGCGTATATTTGGATCACTGTGATGTTGAAAAGCTTTCCTTGCACTCGAATTGAGATCATTCTGTCATTTTTTGGGTTGTATCCAAGCACCGCTTTAGCGAATTTCTTATTAATTATGAAGGCTACTCCATTTCTTCGATGTTCCTCTTGTCCGCAGTAGTAGATCTGGTGGTCATCTGATGTGAAGTGGCCCATTCCAGTCCATTTCAGTTCTCTGACCCCCAGAATGTCTATCTTTAGTCTTGACATCTCACCAATAACAACATCCAATTTGCCCTGGCTCATAGATCTTACATTCCAGGTTCCTATGGTGTGTTGATCTTTAGAGCATCGGATTCGTCGTTCACCTCCAGTACCGTCGGCCGCTAGCCTTCCTTTCGTCTTTGAGCTAGCTGCGTCATCACATCTGGGGCTAGTTGAACTTATCCTCTGCTCCTCCCCAGTAGCATTTTGGCCATCTTCCGACCTGGGAGTCCCATCTTCCAATGGCATACCGACATATCTCTGGTTGTACTGGTCCATTTAGTTTTCTTGGCAAGGATACTGGAGTGGTTTGCCATTGCCTTCCCCAGGGATCACGCTTGGTCTGTCCTCTCTGCCACGACCGTCCCGTCTTGGGTGGCCCTTCATGGTGCTCAAGCTCCAGCGCCACGACAAGGTGGTGATCCTTTGCTGGAGTTAAAGATATAAGCTCTCCTAAAAATATATGCAGATAGATAAGTTTTCCTGGGTGTTGCCAATTGCCATTCTGGTCTATAAAGACAAGGAAAAATATATTGCAAGAAGTCCAGAACAAGCCCACAGAATGCTGGAAAAATTGGGCATCCCTCTAATACCAGAAACAGAAAACTCTACCAAGATATGAGAAGTGAGTCAGAGGGAGGAGAGGAAGATGAAGATCAGACTGTTACAGAAGGGGAACTACTAACTGGATTAGCAAGAACTTCAAAAGGAACAAGGACTACAACATCATCAGAAGTACTAACTCTGCCTTGTGATTAAGTATGGGGGGAAGTAAGGGTGAAAGTAGCTTTTGTTTTTTTCCATCGGAAGCTGTTTTTGGAGCCTTTTCGGAAGGTGGTTGTAGGGTTGATGGGATGTTATATTTGTATAAGAAAACTAGCATGTATGGCGGGAAGGGGTTTGAAGGCGGGGCCTTCAACCCCCTTCAATGAAGTAACAGGACAGCCTGGAATAATAATCATCTATATAAATAAAAATGTACTGTTCGTTTGTGGGATTAGCAGAACTAAAAAACCACTGGACGAATTGACACCAAATTTGGACACAAGTAATGGGACGGCCTGGAATAATACATAAATAAATAAATAAACATACAGGAGATGGAACAGGGGACGCAGTGCTGCAAGAAATTTCAAATGAAAGGAAAGATAGATTTCCTTTAAAAAATTGAGAAGGGGGAAGGGGCAACCACGGTTAAAAGGGAAGGGATAATAGCAGATGAGAAGCCACGAGTAGACAAAGATAATGGGTGACAAGCTGAAAATGTGTTTTTTTATACAAACGGAATGGCTTCAGATCGGAAGCAGTCAAGAATAGCACAATTAGGAAGGAAATTGCATTGCAACGTCCTCTGTTTATAGGAAACCCACAAACATAAAAAAGATAATAAACAATTAATAAATATACCAGCTTGTAGGGTGATAGCAGAAT